CAGACAAAAACACAACACATATGTATATTCCTCATAAACTTGTCTGAATCACATATGTATCTCGCAAGTAAAGTTAAATATGGATCAAAATAGGATATCGAATTCATGTTCCCCAAATAAAGTGGAACGCGAATTAATATCATCATGAGAATCTCTTAGTATAAGTCCTTGCACAATCAACACACATGTCAAAAATAAGAAGGAAAAACTGAACCGAAAGAGAAAACACGATGAAAAATGGAACAAAATTAAAAAAACAAAAAAAAACAAGTTGCTATTTTTTGGCCTGGAAACCCGGTTACCAGAATTTGGGTAATCGATTACTCTAACTCAACAATGTGAGAAAATAGCTATTGACTCGAGGTAACCGGTTACCATAACTGAGTAACCGGTTACCAAAACATTGAAAATTTTGGCAATTTGCTTATGACTTGGGGTAACCGGTTACCATAACTGGGTAACTGGTTACCTTGTGGAACCGGCATGGAATGATTTATTTCCTTGAAGAAACTTTCAAAATGATCCTTTATCGCACACTTCACTTCCTCCACATATTCCACAATACCACCTAAGTCTCCACCAAATTAATGAAATTACGCTTGTTTTGGGATTTCATCGCATTACGAAAGAATCTCGTGTTATGATCACCCTTTTTAAAGTTTGTCTGGATTTTTGTCTTAAGAAACTATCCTTAATGTCAAATTTATTTCAGAAGTCGTCCACAATTTTAGCCCTGTCAGCCACTAACTCATGATTATCACCACCAAAATTATCCACTAACATCTTGTCCAAAGAATTAAGATCTTGAACACTCTCCTCCGCTTTCAAGTCTAAGCAACCGAAGACCTCTTTGTTCCAAGATTTCAACCTAAGTTTAAGGGCTTTAAACTTTTCACTCAAGATAAAATTCCCTCTACCGACACCCTACACTTCTCTCACTCCTCCTTGACAAACTTTGGAAAATCATCACGTTTAATCCAACAATTGTTGAATCTAAACAGTTTGAGACCCAAATCTTTGTTACAAAAATTCAACCATATTGGACAATGGTCGGATATGTATCTCTTCCCAATCCCTTGCCACGAGATATTCCAATCACTCACCAACTTCTCAGAAATTAAGAACCTGTCGAGGCGACTCATAGCAGTACCTCCATCATTGTACCAAGTAAACCTCTAAATGATAGAAGGGATGTCAATGAGCTCCATATGAGTAACATCATCAAAATCACTACCTAAGTACCACTTTCCACCCACACTCATCCTTCTCCGAATGATCGAATCCCTCCATGTTATCCTCTTAACCGCAAACGAACACGACGCATATACATTAACAAAATTGAAACTAACTTCCTTATAACCTACATTCAAACCCACAAAACCTTCCCCTTTGAAACTGTGGTCCAACACAAAAAGATCTTTCCTCCATAAAATAACCAGTTCGCCCGAAGCCCATAAAGCCCCGTAAATGTCCAATCAACATCACTATTACCCCAAAAATCCACTGCAGTATCACCGTCAAAAACACTCAATTTAACCTCTTGAAGAAAGCATAATTCAAAGTTACCAGACTGGATTAAATCATTGATTCTTTCCCTATTTAATCTGCTTCCCCCCCCCCCCCCCCCCCCTCTAATATTTAGAGAAATAATATTCATGGAAAACCATTATTTTTCGTATGCCTATGCTTTTTGCCCTCTTTGTCTCTTATATTAATCTCCTTAATCATCGTCACCGAGTGCTCATGATTATCTTTGCTCACAATCTCAGATTTTATAATAGATTCCCAGACCATCCTTCCAACCTCTGATTCCATGTTTCCCCCAGGACTTCTTATTGCATTGCAAAAGATCAGATTCCGTAAAGGATTCACAACACAAAAATTCACCTCCTCAAAATTGCACACTCTCTCCAGGTTTATTTTCCATCTGCTCGTTAGCCTAATTACCTATACTGGATTAAGAAGAATTGCTTGCCATTTCTAGAATATTATGTTTTTTTTCTTTGGAGGTAGTCAAAGTAAGAAGCACGAGCTTCAATTCTCTCACCCAAATCTTTAACTTCCCTTATTTTCACAATTCTAGGTTTGGGCCTAATAACTTTCATACAAGATTTGTCAAAAGATACTGGGCCAAAAGAGGTACCATCCACCATACCCGGTCCATACTGAATCAAATTCCTCTACTCTACTAAAAGAGGTCCCACTTCCAACGCATTAAATGTTGAATCCTCAACAGTTCAAAATCTCTTGCCTTCCACCATACCTTCGGGACACGTTTCAAGATCACCTATGCCACCTACTCTCTCCGCATACCTACTCTCCAAAATACTCTCCAAAAGATCAAGTTCAGGTATCACTTTATCACCTTCAGAAAGATGGTATTTGCCTTTTAGCGATAAATCATCATTATTCTAAGAAATCGTCAACTTTTTATTCACTCTGTCCATTTTGCAAGACAAAACCTCATTACCATCTAAAATATCCACTCTTCATGCAATGGAACATGTTTAGCTAATCTACCTTCTTCTTCCCGAAATTTTATTCCGCCTTCCGACCCAGAATCGGCGGACCCATCATCTATAACGTTGCTATTCCTCGGATTGAACAAAACTCCAGAAAAACCTTGCGCTTCCTCCATAATTTTGATTCTAAAGATTTCATCATTGATTTGAATATTTAAGACATCGTTAATCGCCGCCGCGCATTTCGTTCTAATCATCATATTTTCTTTAATAAAGAATTGGTAGCTAGAAGGTTTCTAAAGACAAAGACCGATTCTTCTACACCATTAAAACTTATATTACATAGTTGATTTATGTATTACTCCTTGAACTCTTTATCTACAATTAATTCAATTACGAGTAACTAAACCCCCAATTTGATAATGTTTTAGTTGAATTTATTTTGAGCTACTTGAGCCATGTAATTTATTTTGTACTAATCTATGTAATATCCTATCTAGCATTATTCATTTAAGTTTGTTCATAATGCTTTTATATATTCAGAAATGTGTAAATTGATTTCAAGTTGCAATTAATTATTAATCATAGTTGTCAAAACTCGATATAGCTTAACTACTTAATAGATAATAAATCTAAGACATAGTGTATTCATTTTTGATAAAACCTTTAAAGGAAAGGGTTACGAGGAAATACTTTATCATAACTATTTTGTTAATTCACCGTTATACTAAGAAAATAATTGTAAAAATTAGATGCAATTACTAAGTAACCAAAAATAAATAATTCATTGTCATTTATGATGCTGTTAATCAAACCCATAAATATTAAAATATGACATATCACACTTATAACTAATTCTATGAGAGAAACAAAGAAACATGTAATATATTAAAGCCATTGAACGATATGTAAGTGTTTGATTTGTATGAGATAATGTTTTCTGTTTGCATTTTTGTTTTACAATTAGAACAATTTTTTTAAAATAAAACAAAAAATAATTTCAGAAAATAAACATGGCTTGAAATTTCTTCCATGAAATTAAACATTTTAGTAAATATGGTAATAGGTACAAATCTCACTTCCTAATGTTAGGAGTCATTTTTCTGGAGACTGCATGTGGATCAGGAGTATTAACTTTGTCGTTTATCTTTTTAGTCCGCCAATATGTGGGACCACCACCCGGTGGAAATACACTCTCCCAAAATCCTTCGTCAAATGGTAAGAACCCTCTTCCTTCCTGCAATGAAAAAGTAATCAAACAGTCTCAATAAAATAATTGATATAATTATTCTTTATATATCATGACACAAACAGATATATTTAGAAATTAAACTAAAATGACTTTTTTTTCGGAATAACAATTATTTTTTGTCGATGCATATATTTAGGGGTGAAAACTTGCTTGTTACTAGCTTTCTATATATAGAAAACACTACTAATTTCTTTGTCATAATAGCCATCAAGGAAAAAAAAAAAAAGACAAACAAAGATGTAACAAGTATGGATCTTTTCGCGAAAACTCATACTAAAACCTATACTATAAAATATTTTTTTTAATAGGCAACAATATGAAATCAATAAAGCGAGTACAAGGGGTACTCGAGCCCGTACAGACAAAATTACCATCTCATCCTAAAACAATCTAGAAGAGAGGTAAACCAATTAAAATAAGTACATCTAGAGCTAGTCTATAATAAGTTCGTAACCACCTCCAAGACATAAGCTTTATAGAGTTCAAACATTCCTCAAAACTAAAGACTCTAGATTGGAACAATTAGATTTGCTTCCAGCAACATGCTCTACAAATTTCTGTGTTTATGTATTATTATGAGATTTATACCATGCTAAAATTGATATTATATCTCCTTCTCCCTATTTGACCTAAGTCTTAGCGTATGCTTCATTTTGTTTTTCTGTGTTGTGTTTGTTTTGCTTTTGAACATTAGAATGTGTTCTATTGGGCCTTCATAGTTTAGTCTGACAGTCCATTGATAAATCTTGCCTAGCTTGTAACACTCATTTTCTGTTTAAAAAAAAGGCTGTAGCACACTTTTTGCTGTTGCAATTGTTTCAAGAAGTTTTTCTTGTCACTTTTTCTTAAAATAGAAACCTCACTGACAAGAAAATATCTTTGGTCCATACTCGGCTGACAACCCTGTCTCAAGGCTTATATTCAAATTGGAGGAATATCTAAAGAAGCATTTTAGAGAGTTCAGGCATGCCCATTGCTCTCCTTTAAAGCAGGTAAAATTAACTAAGTTAATTTTCTATATTCTGTTTGGATACCTGGTCTCCTTTAAAGTAGGTTAAATTATCTAAGTCAATCTTTTATAATCTGTTTGGGTACTCCTTTTTTTAACTTGAATCTTCAACTAAAAATTGTTGCTACCAATTATTTTTGCTTCCAGCAACATGCTCTGCAAATTTCCGTGTTTATGTATTATTATGAGATTTATACCATGGTAAAATTAATACTATATCTCTTTATCCCTATTTATACCATATAATATAATATCTATATTTTTATTTTTTGAAGAAATGGATAAGTCATGTATTACTAAGCCACTATCATCGATTGCGTATCAACAAGGGATACAAGAATTTATTGATTTTGCATTTAAAAGTGCAAAAGAAAATGATGTAGTAATATTCCCTTGCAAATGGTGCGGTTTCAGAAAATCAAAGAGTAGGAGTGACATGTTCGACAACTTAAGTTGGTCACCATTTCCGCAGGGATACACCATGCGGATCCATCATGGAGAGTCTTTTGTACGACCTAGTACTATCTCCTCTAGTACTATTCCAAATATGGTTGAAGATACTATCATTGTCGAAGATCCTATTCAGAACATGATCAACGATGCATTTGGAGTTGATAGGAATCATGCAAATGGAATACCATATGCGTAAAATTTTGATATTGACCAAGAAGATAACGCGATGCCAAGTGCAACTCAGGAAAGAAATGAAGCCAAGGAGTACTATGAATTGTCTAGAGAAGGAGAACAACCTTTATATGAAGGGTGTAGACGATATTCAAGACTATCTTTTTTGGTTAAGTTGTACCATATAAAGTGTTTATGTGGATTGTGTGAGAAGTCAATGACAATGATTTTAGAGTTAATAAAAGATGCATTTGAATATGCAAACATTCCAAGTTCGTTCTATGAAGCCAAGAAATCAATCATAAAACTTGGTTTGAATTATGTAAAGATATCTGCATGTCCAAACGGTTGTATGCTTTATTGGGGGAAAGATGAAGAGAGGGAGACTTGCAAAAATTGTAACACTTCAAAATGGAAAACAAATGAAGATGTCTCTGTTAACAAGAAATATAAGAAAATTCCTGCCAAGGTTCTTCGTTATTTTCCATTAAAACCTAGATTACAGAGATTATTTTTGTCATCAAAGAAGACCGAGGATATGATATGGCATGCAACAGATACTAACAATGATGGAATGTTGAGGCATCCTAGAGATTCAGAAGCTTGGAAGAAATTTTACTTGACACATACTTGGTTTTCATCAGATCCGCAGTCGTGTGAGTTTTGTACAAAAATAGATGTTTGTATTGAATTGGTTTTTAATTATAACAAGACTAATTGGATGTTGTATCGTGTATAGATTTGCAACAATCTTGACAACATTCATGAACCAGATAAAGATGTTTTCATTAGTCTTAACCATGGACCTTTTGATAAAGTCAAAAGATTTACCGCGTTCAATATCAATGGATTCAAGTTTTGAACATTGGAACGAGACAATATTTTAAAAACTCAAAACAGTGGAGTTTTTGGCATGTTTGGGACACAGAGTTATTCAAGCAATAGTGATACTCAAATGAGATTTGGAGGGGTCCCTTACTATGGAAGATTGATATACATTATTGTGCTTTCCTATGATGGCTTCACAGTGCCCATGTTTAAATGTGAATGGGCTAATACCACAAGCCCAAGAGGAATTAAAATAGATAAGTTGGGTTTTACCTCTATAAACTTTGCGAGACTACTACATAATGGGGAACGTGAAGATAATGAGCCATACATTCAAGCATCAGAAGCTCAGATGGTTTTTTATGTGGATGATGAGAGTGAACAAGGATGGAGCATACATGTTCATTTGAAGCCAAGAGACTTGTATGATATGGGTGGAAATGATGAAATTATAACACCCATTGAGCCATATCCATCACAAAATTTGGAACAAATTTTTTCGAATGATGATCTTGGAACTTTATCGGCAAATGATGACAATAATTAAGATATAGTTTTTTATTGATAAGAAGTCTAGTTTGTTTGTAACTTGTGTGAGACTCATGTTTTTTGTTGCTTATCCCTAATTAATGTATTAGATGACATTGTTACTCTATGTTTTTTTTTGCTTATCCCTAATTAGTGTATTAGATGACATTGTTACTCTATGTTTTTTGTTGCTTATCCCTAATTAATGTATTAGATGACATTGTTACTCTATGTGTTATTGCATAATTTGTCTTTTATTTTGTGTTTTAATACGTATACTTGCAGTTGAAGCCTGTTGTGAGACAATGACTACACCAGATGAGAATATGTGCCTCAAAAGAATGGCAGCGAATAAGAAAAATCTAGAGGCTCTCAATCTTCCTACACTCTCTCAATCCCTTAACAAATCATCTGAGTATTCTTCCAAACCATCACCAGTTAGTAATAAATTCTCAATACTACTCCATACAAATTAATTGTATTGATTGTTGACTGCTATTCACTGATGCATTTTATTTAGTCTGTGAAGGGTCGTACGAAGTTTGTACAACCTGGAGAGCTTAAAGTAAACAAAAAGCACCTACGTTCAACTACAACTCGCAAATCATCAATCGCCCTCCCTCGATCAAAACTACAATAACTTCTCTGCCAATCCAAACCATAATAACCCCTCCCCCGATAAAAACTACAATAACATCTCTGCCAATCCAAACTACAATAACCCCTCCCCCGATCAAAACTACAATAACCCCTCCACCAATCCAAACTGCAAAAGATGTTGTGGTAGAATATGAGGATGAAGATGTTGTGGAAGGAGATGAGACGGAAGATGATGTGGCAGGAGATGAGGCCGAAGATGTTGTGGTAGGATATGAGGCTGAATAAGTTGTGGTAGGAGATGAGGCTAAAGATGTTATGGTAGGAGATGAGACTAAAGATGTTGTTAAAGTGGCTAAATCTGTGTATTGGGATGTAAAAGTCATAAGTAAGTAATTTAAAGTTAAAGTATTTGTAAATAATTTAAATTTTTTACATAGTTGAGTTATGACATTAATTTCTTTACTTTTTTATATGATAGATGAGGAGGGTAATGTTTCAAACACAGGTTTATGTGTGAAAGACTTGGTTGCGAAATCAGAGCCGGATGGAACATGGATAATACTTGACTTCGATAAGGATCATTGTGCAATAGGACAAGCTTTTGGTTTGTTAGCGGGGTATTCTGGTGTAATTATTAGAATGTTTAAAGACTTTCCCACAATATTCGAGAGTTGGAAGGATATTCCAGCAGATACAAAAACAAATTTTTATGAATCAAAGATAAATGTATCATTAATAAACAATTACATATTTTTTAAATTAATTTCATGGTGATTATTATTTGTTTTGTCAACTAATTTTTATTTTCATGTTTAGCGCCATATTCTTGTTGATGATGGGCGTGACAAAGAATTCATATTTTCTTATGCCTCAAAGAAATTGAGGGATGCCCGATCTCAATTGTTTCGCCAATATTATAGATGGGATCTCACTTTGGAGGAAAATCTTCAAATTTTTCCAAAACACATAGGCATTCTCGAAAACGATTGGGCTGTTTTTGTTCATTATAGGCGGAAAGAAAAAACACAGGTAATATTAGTGTTTTTATTTGTTAGATTTCTCTGGTTTGTAAGTTATCCCTATTTATAACAAGTGTTTTTATTTGTTACCAATGTAGAAGTTAGCCCAAAAAAATGCCGAAAATAGAGCAAAATTGAAGGCTCTGCATACACTCAGATCTAAGTCGCTTGCAAGGAAGAAACATGAGTTGGTATGTCTAAATCTACATAATATTGATTATATGCCTGATAGTACAAATGATTAATATTTGTTCTTATTTGTAGGAATCGAGAGATGGACGAACATACAGTAGAGGAAAAATGTATGCAATTTCTCATTAAAAGTCTGATGGGTCTTTTGTCAATGAAGATGCATACAACAATAATGTAAGTACGAGTTAATTATTTTGAAATACTTTTTAGCCTTCTTAATGTTTGATAAAAACTGAAACCTTTTGGCATCTCTTAGAGGTGGGGAGAACTTGTCTGAAAACTGATTACTAAGTTATAGTTCTTTTATGGTTCTACTAAGTTACAGTTTTGTTATAGTTTTACTAAGTTATAATTAATTAGTATTACACTTTGTCTCATGAAATTTTAACTTGTATTTTTGAGAACCTATAATAAGTAGATTCAAAGACAAGTATCATGTTATTATGCATGCAGTTCACTTAGACTAAAATTCTAAGGTGCTTGCAGACCATATAGACCAAAGATAATGTTTTCATTCCACTCATATATTAGTGAGCTTTAAACTCCATTTAAACACTAATGTATATACTGTTTGAAGTTGTAGTTGTTTGAAAACAAGTTAAATGATAAAGCTCATAAGAAATTGTGACGATTATATTGCACCCTACACTATATTGCATAACACATTCATAGTTAAATGCAGCCACTAATTTGACACGTAGCCATTTTCACCTTTCTATGGATTTTATAGCATTTGGATTATTATTTGGTTGTGTAATTTTAAAGTGTATAATTTATTATTGTTACAGTATAAGTATGAAAAATATGAAAAATAATACAGCAACAAAAGTAACAAAAGTAACAAAAGTAATATTATTGGATTATTGGATTATATTATTGGATTATATGAATCTTACAGTAACAAAAGTAACAAAATTTTATTATTGGATTAAATGGATCTTACAGTAACAAATGTAATATGAACAATATATGTTAGCTACTTCATTCTTACTATATTTTATAGCTATTGCATTCTTGAGCGTTGTCCCATATAAATTAGTAGTAAATAAGTAGTATATTTTATAGCTAAGCATGTCCCTTTTCTCTTTTTCATGTGGAGGAAAAATTACAAGCTGCAATTAAGGATTCTGTTTCTGAAAATGAGGCATTTCAGAAAGTATTTGGAAAAGAACAAAATGGATATGTTTGTAGTGTGGGACTAGGAGCTACACCATCTCAGATTAATAGATCTACGAGATTGGCATCTTCTTCTGCAGAAAATGAAAAAATAAAGGAAATGCAAGAAGAAATTAATGCACTTAAAGAAAAGAATTCAAAAATTGACGAATTGATGGAGGCAGTCACATTCTTAACGCAAAGGGATAATGCTAGGGAAAAGGAAATTGAACTCTTATTGCAAATGCAAAATTCTAGTGGAAGACAAGTATACTATTTTGATTCATTTAAAGTTGAAGTTATGAGTATTATTTTAATACTTTTTTTAGGGATTGGAATCACCCGCTGATGGTAGACGTTCATCTGAGTCTAGCTACCGAATTTAGATAATGGATCATCAAGAAGGACAAATTAGAATTTGCTATGAATTAATTAGATTATGAAATTTCTTATGTATTTTTGGTATAATTATACTTATTATTATAAGATTAGAATTTGATATCTTTTCAGTTTTTTGTGCTACATTACATGATTATGGAACTCACATTTTATATGATTATGGAAGTTGCATTTTTTTTTGATATTATGATACTTATTTGATATTAAATGTTTTTTATTGGAATTAATTTTATTACGTTACAAAGTGATTGAAAATAATACTATATATATAAATATTATAGTAGAAATAATTTAAAGAAAAAATATTAAAATTATAATACTATAAAAAGACAATCACGACGGTATTGAGCCGTCGCAATCAATAATTAAAAAAAACTCAAAAGTGTGTCACGACGGTACCGAACCATCGCCATTACCAATTAAAAAAAGCGCAAAAGATAGTCACGACGGTAACGAACCGTCGCCATTAACAATTTAAAAACTCAAAAGATAGTCACGACGGTATCCAACCCGTCGTGAACTTGAGCGATGGTTGGTGTGGAGGTTTGTGAGACCATCGCGAAACAGGCTGGGGACACACATTTTTGCGACTACGAAGCAACCGCCATGGATAGCAAATTGCGACGGTTTTAACCGTCGTAATCTGCCAAAATAACTGTCGCAATCTGCCAATTTTCTTGTAGTGTATGAAAGAACCTCGTGTTGCGATCACCCTTTTTCAACCAAGTTTGTATGGATTTTTGTCTTAAGAAATTATCCTTAATGTCAAAATTATTTCACAAGTCGTCTATAACTTTAGCCCTGTCAGCCACTAACTCATGATTATCACCACCAAAATTATCCACTAACATCTTGTCCAAAGAATTAAGATCTGAAACACTCTCTTCCACTTTCATGTCTAAGCAACCGAAGACCTCTTTGTTCCAAGATTTCAACATGAGTTTAAGGGCTTTAAACTTTTCACTTAAGATAAAATCCCCTTTACCGACCACCCTACACTTCTCCCACTCCTCCTTAACAAACTTTGAAAAATCATCATGTTTAATCCAACAGTTATTGAATCTAAACGGTTTGAGACCCTAATCTTTGTTACAGTAATTCAACCATATGGGACAATGGTCGGATATGTTTCTCTTCCCAATCCCTTTCCCCGAGATATTCTAATCACTCACCAACTTCTCAGAAATCAAGAACTTGTCGATGCGACTCATAGCATTACCACCACCATTGTACCAATTAAACCTCGAACCGATAAAAGGGATGTCAATGAACTCCATATATTCAATGAAAAAGTTAAAAACATCCATCTCATTTCCTCTACTGCTCGACCCCACACGTATTCTATAATCCTTATGAGTAACGTCGTTAAAATCACCACCTAAGAACCACTCTTCACCCACACCCCTCCTTCTCCTAATGATCAAATCCCTTCATGTTATCCTCTTAACCGCAAACGGACACGATGCATACACATTAACAAAATTGAACCTAACTTCCTTCCAACCTACATTCAAATCCACAAAACCTTCCCCTTTGAAATTGTGGTCCAACACAAAAAGATCTTTCCTCCATAAAATAACCATTCCGCCTGAAGCCCATAAAGCCCCGTAAACATCTAATCAACATCACTATTACCCCAAAAATCCATTGCAAT